CTCATGCTCATTTATCACTGGGATTTGTCTCTTTCCTTTTCCTTTTGCAAGCCAAGTAACATTTGCACAGGGAAGTTAGCCAAGGAGAAATGAGTACTATTAACACTTTCCAGAGGAGAGGGAGTAGTAGTTTGGAAGGAATTTCTAATTAGAATATTTGTGATAAGAGAATGATTAAGATATATTTTTTTCTCAAATTAAGATAATATCCCTGGATTTTTTAAAAACAAAACAAATAACCAACCAATCACACAGATAAAATATAAAAATCACCCCAAAGTAATGGACAAATGACTAAACAGCTTTAGCCCAATGAAACATTACTAATAGTGTTTTGACATGAGTCAATATTGCAGTTTTTGTTTCTCAGACAAATGCCAGCCTGTTCCAATGTCATATTTCCTAAAGAAGGTTGTGTTCATACAATATATATTTTAGCTCAATGTTTTGTGTAATCAAGCCATATTACTTGATTCATATCAAGTCATATGAACCTAGAAAAAAAATTAGTTGAGTGATTTCACTATTATCATCTAAGTGTAAATCTACCAAATAGGTAGATTAAGTAGCATTAAGTAGCATCAAGAGCTTTCAAATACACAAACACTTTTCCTCTAAAAAAGAATGATATTTATCAAGAAATAAAACAGTTCATTACCATGACATATTTAAGTATCATCAGGGATATAATTCAATGATCTCTAGCTATTCTTCACTTTGCAGCATTACCTTTTATCTCATAATTCACCAAGATGCTCTGTCCAAAACACTTCTAATCTAAATCAAGGTGGCCTACCCAATTTTGCTGAAGTGTAGTTTTCATCTACAACCAGGGTCTACTTGGGTACTCCCAAAGTTTTAATTAGAGTAGGGGCCAGGAAGATGAAGAATAATCTATATCTGGGACCAAGTACTATAATCAGAATTGCATTCTTACACTCCTTTAAATTTTTATTTGACTGTTAATTCTGTTCAGTTAGTCACACCCATGTGCATTTTACTAACTGGCTAAGATTGGCCTGGCTTAACAATACATTTCTACCAATGCATAGATACTTTTCTGAACTCTATCACAGTAACTTACATGTAGTTTCATTGCAGTTCTGAGTTGTATTTTGGAGTAGTTAACCTTTAGACTGAATTGCATATCTAGATGTTAATATTCTTAATGATTAAAACTTCTGCTTAACTCATTGTAAATAGTCACAGGTATTTTTTCTGAACTCATATAATGCTGGTGTGCTGTGCAGTCAATCATGAGGGGCATTCCTGCAAGGCATTGTATGACATTCCTGCACATAATCTGTCATAAAATCTGCATGGAGGGAATTCTGTATACAAGTCTAATGTATGTTCACTAAAGCATTTTTTTTTTCAGAAGGAGAAAATGGTACGGAGAGAATTTATTTCTGCAATTTAATTATCTCTCATAAATCTGCATAATATTCTAACAAATAAGTAGTAATGATGCATTCACTGGTAACCTGCATCATCCTACTCTGAAATGCAATTTCATGAAAATTAATAATATTTTCATTTAAAATACATGCTCACAGATTAGATCAAAATTTGCATAAACAATTCACTTTGTGCTCCGCTTAGAGTTGACTGATGGCTTTAGGCCAACCCTTGAAAGCAGTCCTTGAAATATAAAGCTTATGGCTGTTCAAACCATTTGAATCTCGATTATCTAGCTCAAATCTTGTTACCAAATAAAGAATAAGGTTAAAGAAGAAAGTCTTGGGCAGATGCAGTTGCCAATCCTGTTTTCAGATTAACCAGATATTGACAAAGTACAAAGGTTGTAGGTGTGAGAGAAAAAAAAACAAAATAACCTCAACTGCCATTAAATCACTGAAGAGTCTTTGATAACATCTAAATTATCTAACTTCCTCACCGATTCCTTATATATACTATAATTATCTTTAACGTTAAAGTATATATGATTTGTGAATAAAATTATAATAGCCTTATGAAGAATAAACATTTAAACTATACAATGTTTTTTACATTAAAGAAAGTGCTGTCTTTTAAATTACTGTAAGATTGCATAGTTATTTAAGTTCACCCACAGCAAAACAAGGTAAGAATATAAGAAAACCTGGCTTACACAAGAGCATTCACTTCAGGGATAGAAGTTAATTATCTACTAAAATGTGGATGGAATTTTCCTTAACATTACAGAGAAATCTGAATACTTTGCAATTTTTGTTCTGGTTTCAACAGTATTAAAAGCACAGGACAAATTCCATTGAACAATAGCTGGTTTGCTTTCTGTAGCTTGATTTAGGCAATGCTAGCTATTTCTTCAACCTGGAAAGTAGATTTTGAACAAATATGACATACTTTTGCATCATAGAATATTCCCCCTGTAATCAACAATTAATTGAAATGGATCAATTTTCACACTGTTTATGTGCTTATTATTTTTGTAATCCTTTTTCCTCTGTTTGCTTATAAGCATCAATTTAATCCACAGAACTATTACCTGAAAAACTTTGATTTACAAATAATCATTTTAACTGAATGTCTGTTCCCGAGATTAAAAAACGCTTTAATTTAAATTCAAATATCCTGACTTTCAGTGCTTCCTTGGTAAAGTCTTTTTTCACCCTATTTTTTTTTACAGAATTGTAAAGTGTATCTTGATACTGGTTTTGAAGTATTGTATTTGATCTTCTTACAAGTAGTTCTTACATGTTCCTCTACCAGTTCTTTCTTACTTGGAGTAGGGAGATTAAGGAGGGGAAGAAAAAAAAATCACTTTATGTTTTGAAAGACTGCTTATGACATGAAAGATTATACTTAACATGGCAAATGTTCAATTAAGTTAATGAAACTGAGACATTTTGAGCATATTCATTTATTAAGCTTAGTGCACAGTCAGCCAGATCTTTATAGGCTAAGCTAAACAAGAGAACTGAAGATGTACAGTCAGGTAATATAATGTCTGCAGAAAAACAACCAAGCTCAGAGAGCACTAAGCATTCAACATAAGCTAAACATTCCTAGTTCCTTTAAATTCGTAAAGCACTGTCATTACCCTTCTTCAAACTTTTTCCAGATTACTGAATTCTTGAACTCTGGACTCAATATTAAAGATGTGTGGCCAATGCCAAATAAAGAAGAACAGCGATTCCTCTGTTTGGAAATCACATGTCTCTTCATTCGGACTAATATTATCATATTAAATTGTTATCAGTCTCTTGTCAAGGCAAGCATACATATCTAATGTTCCTACTGCTTTCTTAGACTCTTTCACGTCTAAGAAAAGACTATTTTTTTTCTGATTTTTAGCCCAGCAACTTGATCAATATTCAAACTATCTCTGTGTTTTTTGTAGCCACACTGCTGATTCATATCCAGTTTCTAATAATATATTAATTTATATAATAATATAAATTAATATAAAATCTTTTACAAAAGTACTTTTGCTATACTAGTTATCTCCTGCTCTAAATCTATTTATTTGATGCATTTCCTAAATGAAAATCTTGCCTTAATCTTTATTAAACATTATATTGTCCATTGCTTCTGTCAAACACAATCATTTTGAATTTGATTTTCATGTTGTAGAATATTAGTTATCCTATCCCAGACATGCACAAAACATTTCATAAATAGATGGTGGCAGGTGGCAACAGCATGAGAATTTGTTGAAGGTGGCCAAAATAATCTAGGGGGTACAGCTGTGAATAGCAGTAGGGGCAGCTTTTTTTACATTGGGCAAATAGCAATCTTAGGAGAAATAGAAGGGATAGGACTCAAGGGTAATGGTTACATTCTCTTTTGCCCCCTGCATAGTACTGATTACTACTAGTTTGGTCCCAAATCCACATGTGTAAAACCATGTCCTATCATCCTCGTATCTCAAGGTTTCCCTCATATTCATGAATCTGCATCTGAGTGAAGCAAGAGGATATGTTTGAATACACATTTATATTGTCATAGTTACATCATATTACAAGCAATCTTCCAACTAACTTTAGGTAAAGACAAGGTACCTTACAGTAATTGCTAATTAACTCATACAGTATTGGACAGCACACTAAGGCTAATGTGTACATCTTTCAGCTGAGACCTTAAGTCAAATAACAAGGTATATTTTCTTTACCCAAGCTTGTGGAAGATGGCTCATCTCAATCTCGTTTTCCTATGTTGTTCAAGTCAGGAAGGAGAAAGTTAATCTGAAATTGCGTTTTCTGGTTTACAGACCGAGACAGAAGGTAAAATTCTGCAGTCTTGTCTTGAAAAGTCTGAAAGCTACAACTGATGCAAAGTAAACTAAGAATGACACTAAATAATCCGCATTGGATACCTTAATGTATTATTACAGTTAAAAGGAAGAGGGAAGCTCTTTTCAAAATTCTCCATCTCCTTTTAAGAGACATATTTTATGAGATGGGAGACAAGCCCTTCTATTCCGTTTCCAGCTACAGACCACAGCGCCTCAGGTTTTGAATCTGACAAAATGTACCGAGCATTAGGAAAATCCGCAAAACTCCTCTCTTCCGCCAAGTATTTATTATATGATGTTACCACCTAGGTTTTGTTAATCGCAGTTTTTCACTTTCAGATATTTTTTACTTTTGTTGTCCCTGGGTCTTCGCAAGAGCTCTCCGAGTAGGCTGCACGCAAAGATTTGGAATCGATTAAATAAAAGTGCGACTGAAAAGATATAAAATAGGATGCTACAGCAATAGCATCTGTTTTCCTTCTCTATGCATCAAGCACGGATCGCCCAAAGAACCGCAACTTCGTGACAATCGTCCTAAGGCCAGGCTCCCCCCACTCCACTTTCACCCTGCACCCCACTTTCCCCAGTGCCACGTTCCAGGCGATTAGCGTTCCCGGCGGCTATCGACAACGCCCAGCCGAACTTCAACGTCCTCGACGTTTCTTCCATTCACCAATAAGGTTTTGATCGGCTTTTCCATCTCTGTCTCGCGATTGGTCGAACCTGGCTGCCAATCTCGTGTCGTCAGAGGGCTTGATTCACGTGGCCGCCGGGTCAGTCTAACCCGCGGGGCGGAGCTGCTTCAGGTTAGTATTGTCATCCTCACCCTCGTGTCGGCCCCGCCCAGCTCTTGGCTCCTGCGCTCCCACACAGCATTACCTGACAGGAGGAGACATGGCTCCACGTAGGAGCCCTAAAAGCGGCAGTCCCGGCCCCGGAGCCCGGAGAGGTCAGTAACTGCCGGTTCGCTGGGCCTCAAGAGCAGCTGGATCGGACGCGGGTGGGGATGGAGGTGGGGGTAAGGGGGGCTAAGAGAAGCGTCTCTCATCTTTCTTCTTTCTGCTGCTGGAAACGTGATGGGTTCCCCGAGCCGAGGCTGCTTGAGGTTCCCATCTGATCGCCACTTTAGGAAGCCGCAGAAGGTCGGGCTTTTGCTCGCGTCACGATTTCGAAATTGGCGCTTTGGGGTTCCTTTTCACCCTCCTCTCCCCAAATGGGCTGAATTTGCTTCTCTGCCCAAGGGGGAAATGGTGTTCTCAGTTCTGGAGTGGGACAGGAACTAGAATTACAGAAAGAAAGTAGAATGGGCTCTAGGATTTCATTTCCTGCAGTGTTTTAGCTACAGATTTTCAAAGGGCTCCCTACCCTTCTATTCTGACCTCCTCCCTAAATACACACAAAAGAGAGACAACACTAGGAGGAGCTTCACGTCATTTCTTCCTTCAGGATGTACTCAGGTCACACCTGTGTTGGGAGGTTTCAAGGGAATGTTGTGCAATGATGAGTTTATCTGGTCATCAAATCTTTTAAATGCACATAAGGAAACTTATTTTCAAACAGATTTGTGTAGATTTCTGTTGCAATAGTACACTGATATTCACATTTAAAGATTAAAAACATGCTATGGCAGTTCTACTGGCTGATCTTGTCTGTGGTTGGAAACCAAGCCAGGCTGGACCTGTTTAGGATTTGCATGGAGAAAAAAAGGGAAATCTGGGGCTATAAACAGGAGGGAAAGGTTGAAAAACATTCCCAAAGATTTAGTGATAACCTTCTATATTGTTTGCAAGAAAACCACAGGAATTAAGCTGATTACCTTAACCTTTAATGTGGTCTGGAAGAGCTGTTTTACATATTTGATGGAAGTTAATCCAATAATGAATATTAAGTATTGTATACTACTGTTATGTATCAACTTTTTCTTTCCCACCATACTTTTTTTTTTACTGAGCCATCAGTGGCTTCTTTAAACCAGCATAGTATTTTATTCAAATTATAGCTGAGACCAACGGAGCTTTAAATGAGGTATTTTTGCCCTTCAAAAGAATACTCTGCATTATGCTCAAAATGTAAGTTACTGGGTTGCTTCAGTTGTATCTTTAAAATATAGTTTAATACTGTTAAAATTATCTTAGCAGCCTTCCTGACTTTCTAGTTTTTTTGAACAATGTGCATGAGGTGTTCAGAAACTTTGTTTCCATTTTTCAATCAAGGCTTGTTATATTTTTTGTACCTGGACGAACTAAGACAAATAAAACAAATTTAAAACAATTTAAAACTATTATGAAATTAGAATAATAGAATTTTAAATAGCACAAAACATTTGTTCTTTTATATCTTTTTACCTTCTACTCCCAACTTCATAAATGCATTGCCCTAGGTGAAACTTAGTAACATCAGCCCCAATGTGGAGCAAGTCTTTTACTTTTCATTGATTCACGGTAAATTATTGGCTAAACAATTTATGTGATGCAAGTAAAATCAAATTAATTTTGCTAGCCTTATATAAGATAATCTAAATTAGTGTCATACTGTGTTAAAGTAATTAGTATATACAGTTCCCTCTGAGAATTTGTAATATATTGTTTGGTGGAATGTTATATTTTTGATTTGTGTTAAAATATAGTTTTCAGTGTGGCTTTACTCATTTATTTTTCATATCTATATGGCTACCCATTTCACAAGAAAGTGATTCTGAATGGTGTATAACTCATAATTAAAAATAATTATGGAAAACACAAAATGAGAGGGTGATATTTTTAAAAGTGAAATTATGAGAATTATATATTTTTACATTATAAAATGAGAGGAGATAGTTACCTGAACAATAAGTAAAATTTCTGAGGATTTCTGGATTACAATCTAACGTACATGATTTTTTGTTGAATCATTTATGAAAACCTGGCTACTAGAGAGATTTTACCAAAGATTTTTTCTAATCATAGTCCTGTGAAGTTGGTTTATAAAAAGAAAACTAGTTCTTTTAGATAATGATTAAATGAAATGCTATTAGAGAAAGTAGCAATAGTTGGAGGGTTGTAAAAAGAAATTAACAAAACAATGAAAATGAAAATAAGGCACAGGTATGGGACACAAGTAAAGCTTTTATCAGAAGTTTTTTATCAACATACTATTGAATATTGAATTAAAAAAGAAACATGAGAAAATCTCATGTAATATTTTGGATTGAGATGAAATGAAAAGAATTAAATCTTCAGAGAGGATGTGTTTCTCACCAAATTAAACCTAAACAGCAATGGCTATTGATACTAGCAGAAAGAGAAAGGAAGAAAAGAAAAGCTAAAAAAGTAAATTTACAAATAAACCAAAGAAATGACTAGCATGTAAATTAAAAAAAATAAAAATAAAAAATGATATTGAAATTTCAAGAGGTAGATACTGTATTAATGGATAATAGCATTTCACTAATATTTTAATTAACTAAAGGGAATAATATTCATTTGAAATAATAGATGAATATTTTAAAAAACAAAATCTACTAAGGATTACATAGAAATGAAGCCTATTAATGGACCTATAACAGTGAGGGAAGCTTCTAAAGTTATAAAAAATATTAAACCAGGAAAAGACATAAGACAAAATAACAGAATTGTGGGAGTAAAGAAATTTAAAAAGGGGGACTTCCGGTCCTGCACCGTAGCGACTGGTTGCAGTCTTGCGGACCGCCACACCCCTGACTAACTTATTAGCCATATTAGAATTTTGTCAAGGAAAATGTAAAATGCAAAGTAAATTCAAGAGATCTGGAGGCAGAAGGTTACACTTGTCAGTGACAGTCTTATCTACAATTACTCAAAATTAGATAAAAGAGTTTTTGGTTTTGATTGTAAGACTGAGTTTCAAATAGACTGCCTTTACGTTACAACAAATATACTATATTTACTTTTTAAATTTTCCCGGTTCTCATAGTTGTATTACTTGACTTTATATAGCTTTGTATCCTGCTTTTAAAGGTACCAGTGCAGGCCTACATGTGTGTGTGTGTGTGTGTGTGTGTGTGTATGTATGTATGAATGTATGTATGTATGTATAAAACTTCAATTCAATTAATAATGGTTTAGGTATATTTTCAAACACAGTTTTGAAAATATAAGCCAAATGATAAATCAGATATAGATGATTATAGATGCCTTCTAAGAACAGTTGAATGGAGCTATAGTTATAAATTCACAAGGGGTGTAATCAAAGCAACATTTCTTTGGAATTCTTAAAATCCAGATTTCTTACAATATGTAAAGAATAAAGATGTAAAAGACATAAAAATAGAAATGCAGTATATGACAGAAGAAAGAAGCCCCCCAGTATGTAATTGAAATGGCTCTTTGACTTTTCCTTTAGAGACAGTTCTAAGAAATACTTGCATATTCTTATTTTTAAATATTAGAATTATAAATACTGCTGCATCTTAAACATGGTTTGTTGGATTCTTCATTGTAGGTTTTTTATTCATTGAAGTTTTCCTTACATCAAGGTGATTGTTTCCCGATGAACATTATAAACTGGTAAAGTGTGATAAGAATGGAGTATGAGCACTTTATTTTATAACCACATTTGTAGACTGACTTGTTGCATGAAAAGCTTTTAATTTTATTTATTTTTATTTTTTTTTTTAAAAAAACCTAGGGCTGGAAAATCCTTCAGATCCACAAATGTCAGTATTGAAATTTTAAGTTTTAGCTATGGAAAAGTTGAATAATTTTATTAAGAGAGCTGTGTTATGTCAAATCAGATCATTGAAGAGCCGAGGTGGCACAGCAGTTAGAGTGCAGTACTGCAGGCCACTTTAGCTGACTGTGTTCAGCAGGTCAGCGGTTCAAATCTCACCGGCTCAATGTTGACTCAGCCTTCCATCCTTCCGGGGTAGGTAAAATGAGGACCCAGATTGTTGGGGGCAATGTAAATATATATTCATTGCTTACTGGTGTACACCGCTTAGTGCTTGCACTTAAAGCGGTATATAAGTCTCATAAATAAATAAATAAATTGATTTATCTATTGACAGCAGCTCTTAAGAGCTTCATGTGTAAATCTTATCTTTGCTAATTTTAACTTCAAGTGACATTGTTTAAATGTTATTGAGTCTACTATTTTATTATTACATTTTTAGATTTCCAATCAGCTTTGTTCTAAACTCATGATAGCAAATTATATTTGATTTTTCAGCCTGAAGAGAATAACAGAATTATTGTGTGGTCTCTTCATTTTAAAGCTAACTTATAATAGTTGTATTATGAACTTGTTCATTTATATTGCTTGGATTGTTAAGCATCTAATTAATTTTTAAAATGCTTCTAGCTTCTAATTTAAAAACTACTAAAGAGTGGTGTGATTGTAAAATGGTCATTTTCTCTGAATACAAAAAAAATCTAACAATATAGTTTTGCTCTAAAAAGTATTCATTATAGTAATAATTCTGTGATGTGCTGATTAAATTCATATTTAAAGTCTGAAACTATCATAACAGAGGCCTTATTTGTATATTTTCTCCATATTAAAAAAAATCTTAAATGTGTGTTCCTCATAGGAACTTCACTCTAGTAAGGTTTACAATTTCTTCATTTAGGTGATGGGGGAATGCTTTAGTGATATCCATTCATGAAGCATGTTGCATCTTCAGTATATGCAGAAGCTTTTTTCTTATCATATTAATAGGTCACTATGATATATTAGGCACTTTAATCTGGTTGGACAGACTTTATGTTGGGCAAAAGTCAAAGCCAAAAGCTGCTTGTGAAACATTTTCTCTCTCTTAAACATGTATTTGGAAATAAGTGACCTGGCAGGATTTCTATCCTAGAGCTATTTGGAATTTAGGTTATTACCTTGAAATTGCAATAGTGGAAAAGTAATTAAAATTGTGATAGTGATAAAATATAATTAACTATTTTTCTATTTTACAAGTCACAACATTGTTAATATTGTTTATTT